GCCATGAGAGATGAATTCTAGATGCCTGTGAGAAAACTCCAAGAAAACAAGAGTCTTGTGACCTCAGCTGTTTCAAAACTGCAGAATTGTTACTTCAGATTATTCATTATAGCTGACTATTGTTATTTGTTTATATGCCTCTCCAGGAAAACATGTTTTTGTCATGCATGGCTTGTCCTTGTGATTGTGCACTTTACCCTCAGAGTATAAATTGTCTGATGCTCTAAATAAAGTTGGCTACTCCGTGAGACTTTAATCCACCTCATCTTTAGGCCCCATTCTCCCAGAAAGTGATTAAGGAAGACAACCACTGACTGTATCTTCCATACATGTGTACACGAACCTTCACACACACAGAACATGAGGAGAGGAACAGCGGGACCAGTGCAAGTTGTGTCTGAACATGTGTGTTCTATTAATCATGAGGAAAATTCAGGGATAAGTCTGTCTTGCTTGGGTTTTTTTCCATTGTTGTTTTTGGGTTTGATTGATTGTTGATGAGATAATATCTCTTATAGCAGGCAATCTAAAACTTGCTACATGGGACAGACTGCTCTAAAACAGGCGTAGATCCTTCTGCCTTTGCCTTTCGAATGCTGGGAAATCCACATGTATGATACAACGTCCATTTTTAACTGGTTTTGTCTTATCATGACATTCCTGAGGCACCATGCAGTTTTGATTCTCAGCCTTCAAAACTGAACAAAATAGACTTTTACAGAAAGTTAGCCTGAAAGTAGATATGGCTATCTCTCATGATAAATGGCATCATCATGTAGAAGCACATGAGGGCTCTCATGTAGAAGCACATGTAGCACAGGTTACATGCTACAGCAGGAGGTGCGGGTTAGTTAGAGGAGCACTTGCTTAGCTTCAGGATCAGAGTCCTATGCCCAACAATATATAACCAGGCACAAAAGTACATGACTATAATCCTAGTTCTCATCAGGAAGAAGAGGATCAGAAGTAAGCTCGAGGTTATCCACACAACATACTGAGTTCAAGGCCAGTCTGTGCTAAGACCCTGTCTTGAGGTTAAGGACAAGATTTAGCTGCTCAAATATTTCCTACAGAAACCCAAGACCCTGAGTTCAGAATCCTACCTCCCACTTAAAAGGCAAGGCACAGTGGTGCACACCTGTAATTCTAGCACTGAGGTAGCAGAAGCAGGTAGATCCTTGCTGGCTAGCCAATCTAGCCAATCAGAGAGCTCCATATTCAGTGAGAGACACTGTCTTAAAAATACAGCAGAGGGCTAGCAGGATATGTCAGTAGGTAAAGGCGGTTGCTGCCAACTCTGATAACCTGAGGTAAACACTCAGGGACCGTAAAAGAAGGAAATAAAATCCTCCTTTAGTGTAGGATATGGGGCTGCTTCAGTTTGCCCACAGCCGTTAACTATGATTGCCTCATGCTCTAGGAGGGGCGTGATTTTTGCCAGCTGCAGACTGTTTAACTCTGGGGACTTTAGAGAGGGAAGAGGTTCGGGATGAAAGTAATGGGGGAGGCCGGGGGGTGGTGGCGCATGTCTTTAATCCCAGCTCTTGGGAGGCAGAGGCAGGTGGATTTCTGAGTTCGAGGTCAGCCTGGTCTACAGAGTGAGTTCCAGGACAGCCAGGGCTACACAGAGAAACCGTTTCCAAAAACCAAAAAAAAAAAAAAAAAAAAAAAAAAAGAAAGAAAGTAATGGAGGAAGATAATGAAGGTTCAGATTTGACCTACAGCCTAGACACAGAGAGACACTCACAGAGAGACACAGACAGACACTCACAGGCAGACACAGACACACACACACACACACACACACCACACACACCCCACAAATATACATACAAAGGATCCTAGCTCAAAAAATATAAATGAAACAAGCAAACAGCCTCAGGCAGTGGAAGCTTGCCCTTATGACTGGTGAGAACAGCCACAATCCTTCCCAAGGGAAGCACCTGGAGGGCCTAAGGACCTCACCAGTCCTACCTCTCAGAAGCCCCACCACTTCCAAATTCCTAGCAAACCACAGCCAAAGCTCATCAAGAATAGGATCAATGTGTCCTTATAAAAGGGGACCAAGGACTCCAGCCACCCTCCACCAATGAGAACACAGACAGACGGCAGGCCTTCCCAGTCACCCATCTGCCAGCACTTTCAACATGAACTTCCAGCTTCTTGACTAGGAGAAGTGATGTCCTGTCTTTACACTCTTCCAGCTAAAGCTATTTGTTGTAGCAGCCCAAACTGCCGAAGACATGGATTAAGTGGTGGCAGCCAAGGCACCAAGGCACCGCATGCCTAGTTACAATGGGGACGCACGTCCTTGTATCTTCACACGTGATCTTATTATTCAGCATCTATTTCTCATTGTAACACAGAAGCATCGTTCTTCCTTTCAGTCAAAATATATTAACACAATGGAAGCCTTTTTATTTATAAAAAAAGCAGGACGTTGTGGCTGGAGTGATGGCTGAGTGGCTAAGAGCATTTGCTGTTCTAGAAGACCCTGGTTTGACTCCCAGCAGCCAGCATAAGAAATTTGTAATACTCAGAAGTGATTTATATATATATATATATTTGTGGGGTTTTGCTTGTTCATGTATTTTACAGTACTGGGGATAAAAGCCTGGGTATCCACCGTGCTAGGCAAGAGTCTGTCACAGATCAGTGTCCCAAATCCTTCAAGAGCATTTTAAAACCTAAAATTACTGGCCGGGTGTGATGTTGTGCACCTTTGATTAACTCAGGAGGCAGAAGCAGGCAGATCTAAGTTTGAGGACAGCCTGATCTACAAAGCAAGTTTGAAGCTAGCCAGAGCTATAGAGTAAGACCATGTCTTAAAAAATAAGAATATTCAATTTAAGTAAACAAATAATAATCAATCACTTTCATTGGAGTTTTCTCTTTTATGTCTGTGTTGTTCTTTGGGGGTTTGTTTTTAATGTGCAGGGTGTGTCTGCATGAATACACTCCATGTATTCGAGGGTGCCCACCGGCCAGAAAAGGGCATCAGATCCCCTAGAGCTGGAGTTACAGGTGGCTGTGAGTCCTCTGGAAGAGCACCAGTACTCATAACCTCTGAGCCATCTCTCCGGCCCCTCACCAGAGTTTAAATAAACTATGAATACTGTATGTCACACGCTACCTCCTCTCCTAAAGCCCTTACAATGAAGGAATGGTCGGCTTAGGGAAAACTAGCTTCTCAGTGTACAGCTCCAGTTACTACTAACGTGACTTCCTCTGATGATACTGGCATCTACAACCGGCTACAGCCGGCTATAGCCAGCTAAGGTATGAGGGTTTTTTTGTTTGTTTGTTTGTTTGTTTGTTTTTGGTTTTTTTTGTTTTTTTTGTTTTTGTTTTTGTTTTTGGTTTTGGTTTTGGTTTTTGGAGACAGGGTTTCTCTGTGTAGCCCTGGCTGTCCTGGAACTCACTCTGTAGACCAGGCTAGCCTCGAACTCTCGAACTCAGAAATCCGCCTGTCTCTGCCTCCCAAGTGCTGGGATTAAAGGCGTGCTCCACCACGGCCCGGCAAGGTATGAGTTTTCTTACTGAGCCAGATTTCAGCTAAAGATCAAGGCAGAGGAGAACAGAAGGCAAGTGCTCCATCCAACCCCAGAAGCTCACACCTACGTGTGAATTATTGTAAAAGAAAAAATAGGCAGCCCTGGCACGGTGGGCACGGTGGCGCATGCCTCGTACTCAGCGGTTAGAGTGCCTATCGCGCATGTGCGAAGTCCCGAGTTTATTCCCCAGTACCACCAGAATGAAAAAACCTGAGTAAGAGTTTGAAGCCAGCATGGTCTAGACAGCAAGATCCTATTAATTAATTAACCAATCAATTAATAAGAAATAAAAAGGCAAAAGGGGAATTGGTAAGAGTGATCAAGGCAGAAAATTGTTAGCTGGGTAAGGAGTGCAGGGAAGGGTTGCAGAAGCATTCGAAGGTAGGGTTAAGAGGAGATCTCCCTCCCTGGGTGAATGAGGAATTTCACAGGCAGCTACCCTAGCAGGCTGCTTTAGGGCCTGTGGGTGAGCCTGACGGGAATCCTCAGAAATATAAGGGTATACAGGACAAAATCAATTTGGTGCCTACTTCTTGCCCATAGTCGTCAAGGCTGGAGACTAGAAAAGCGGCTCAGTGGTTAAGAGCACTGGTCACTCTTACAAAGGACCCTGGTTCGGTTCCAAGCACCCACACAGCTGCTTACAACCATCGGTAACCCCAATTGTTGGGAACCTGACGCCCTCTTGGGGCCTCCACAGGTACGTGGTGCACAGACACACATGCAGACAAAAGACTCACACGTGTATAATTTATTTTATTTTTTAAGAAAAAGGTGGAAGAGGAGGAAAAGAAGAAATCTAAGCTAACTAAACATTCCCTACAGCAGGGTTGTGAAACAAAACCGTATGTTCCCTACTGCCTCAGTGGACCCAGGAAGAGTGACCCAGAGAGAGGGCATCAGAAAGGATCAAAATTGGCTGAGTGCACCCACCGCTAGGAGGTCTCAGCCAGAGGCAGGGGTGGGAGGTGTTTTCCCAGTCACAAGAAGGCAGTCAAACAATGGGACACCCTTAACCAAGTACTACCTGCCGCACTTTCTGTTCAACCTAAGACCACTGTTTACCCTACTCTTTCTCCTTTCTTCTGAGCCACAGAAGTGTATCAAAGCAGAGAGGGAAGTGGTTACTGCGCACGCACGCACGCACGCACACCACCACCACGACCACCACCTCCCCACCCTCGCCACCTTCCAGGCTGAGGCTTGAGGATCAGGACGGCGATGGCGTGGGGACTGGGTGGGGATGGAGGGGGAGAAGCTTCACTTAGCCAGGGCTATAGGATTTAATAATTATGAAGCCAGCTTGGGTAGGTGCAGGTAAGAGAACGCTAAGGAACATCAAAAGAGCAGGAACGAAGATCCAGCCAAGCCTGTGGAAAACCTTCATGTGGTGTCATGGCTGTCCCCCCAGCACCGAATCCACTTTAGAAAATTCGAGAACCTCACCTTTGAAAAGAACCCTCCTTCCTCTATGCTGTAGCCTTTAAGGTCCTCCTGTAACTTCTGCAAACACTGAACAACTCTTCGTTGATGTTCATCCTCCCTCAGCTCCTGGGTTTTGATCAGAAAGTTGTAGTGCTCCAGAGGCCCGTGGCAAACAGCCAAAGCTTTCGAATGGGCCTCGGAAGCGGCTGTTGGGCGCGCACCCTCGGATGTCTGGACTGTGTAGGCTACAAACGAAAACATGCAAGATTTTAGACTTCGTTCATTCATTTAGACGAGGGCTTGGGTAAGCAGCTGAACTCCCTACATAGCTGAGGAGAGCTCTGACCTTCAGATCCTCCTGCCTTTATCTCCCACGTGGGTGGACGACAGGCTATTTGGTCATTGTCCCTGGTTCTTATTAAGAGTTCCTAAAAAGGATCATCTCAGAGTTCCGTGAGAAGGGACTGGAGAGACAAACTGGTGGTAAGAGTGCAGAACAAAGCTTGGTTCCCAGCACCCACAAAGAGTGAGTGCTTCACAACTCCATCTCCAGGAAAAAAATTCTGACGCCCTCTTCTGGCCTCTGCAAGTACTGCACTCATGTGAAAAAAACGCACACACATATACACATACTTTTTCTAAAATTTTAAAGGGAGCAGGAGAGGTAGCTCAGCAGTTAAGAGAAGTTCACTTTCAGAGTCAGTTCCCAGCATCCACACCAGACCACAGTGATCTGTAATTCAGGGAATCCAACATCCTCTGGCAGCTACAGGTACCTGTTCACACTCATGGTGCAAAGAAAGTAAAGCAAGCATCCATACATACACATAAATAAAAATAAATTAAAATTTTTATTTTTAATAGCATTTTTTACAAAAAAAAAAAAAAATTCCCTGAGTGGTCCATCTTCTGTTACTCATAATGACCCTTCCGACTTGGATAGTGGTAAGACAGAGACATCTGCCAAAAAGATGGCGCAAGCAGAAGACTGAATTTTCAACCCCATGCACAGAACGCCGGGGAGGGCAGGAGGCCTAGAGGTTGAACTTCATAATTGCTCTTATGTGAAGAGAGATCCGAGCGCTTCCAAGTCAGTGGACACAGCTATGTACGGAGAGAGAGGTGTGCCTGCCCCATGTGCTCTCTGCCCCTTGTGCTCTCTGCCCCATGTGCTCTCTGCCCCATGTGCTCTCTGCCCCATGTGCTCTCTGCCCCATGTGCTCTCTCGCTTGCCATGCCCCACGGCTCTACCTTTATAATGAATGAGTCATAAGCCTGAGTTATGTGGGCTATTCTAGATAATTACCAAAGCTGAGGTGGGGAAGGAATTTTATTTATTATTCATTATTATTATTTATGTGATTCATGGAAGTCCCTGAATCACAGCCTGCTGGGCAGAGATGTGGGTAACGGGGCCATCTCATTTGCAGCTGGCATAGGGAGGGGAGCCACACAATGGCACTGGGCTGTCACTCAGGAATGTGTTCTTCATTCCTAGTGCACAGAGCAGCATTGAATTGGTTCTTGGACTTGCACCTGATATTGAAGGCGATGCATGGCTTTAATCCTAGCACTGGGGAGGCAGAGCAGGTAGATCTCTGAGTTCAAGACCAGCCTGGTCTACAGAGTGGGTCCTGAGACAGCCAGGGTTACACAGAGAGATCCTGTCCCAAAAACAAACAATTCAGAGTTTCACAATCAAAGGAGAGTGTTCTCTTCATTCTTTTAATTGTCTGGACTTTAACCAAATTAGGAAAGCTCAAAGCAATCATGCTTTCTTTCCCTCTTTCCTACAAACCCCCTCCTCAGTTCCATGCCCGTCCCCTGGTCCCTTTCATCACACGCCACCCTCTCTCAGACACTCTATCTCCTGTGTGAGGTGGGTCCCCTTTCCTCTGCCTCACCGACATCACACTCTCTAGGATACCTTCCTCCAACCCAAGCGTGACTCCATCATGTTTATATGAACAGAAAAACTGCAGCCTATCCAACGGCCTTAATTGGCTTTCTTTGCAATTCTAGAATCAAGTAACACTGCATCCCAAGAAAATCAGTCCACGTTCCAGTGAGCTGGAACTTTCACAAAGTGCTGAAGAAACCGGAAACAAAACCAAAAGCAACCTGCTATAGGCTTTGATATCCTGTTTAATGAGTGATCTTCATATCGCCAACTTTTTTCTATACAGAAACCTTTCATTCAGTTTAGGACCAGCAAGAAGACTTAAACGGTCAAGGCATTTTCCTTTCGAGCCGCCACCCTGAGCTCGGTCCCTCAACCCTCGAACAAGTGGAAGGTGGGCTGTCCTCTGACCTTCACATACATGCTGTGACAGGTACCCACATATGCGCATCATACACATACATAATAATAAATAAAATTTAAAAGGAGAGGAGCACACCTATACCCACACAACTCGAGTTTCCCAACAGCCCCGTGGCCACTTCGCTACCTTCTGGGATCACATTAAGTACATCGATCGACATAGCAATGGACTGTTTCCAGGACTGGCTCTTGACAGTTCCTGGAGGCAGGGGAGGGGTGGAGCTGGGGTTGTATCATCACCACACCCAGAAAAGTAAAGAGCAATGTTTTGTAAACAATGTAGTTTCACTGACTATCTACTTCCCTTCATGAATCAGAAATTCTGGTACATGCTAGGCAGCGGGTACCTACATGACAATCACCATAAAAAACCTCACGCTGGGCTAACAAGATGGCTCACCTGGCAAAAGTACTTGCCACCAATCCTGATGATGTGTTTCTAATCCCTAGAACCTGCACAGCAGATAGAGAGGAAACCCACTTTCACAAGCTGTCCTCTGACCTCCACTCATGTGCCTGGAAGACTCTGAAGACCAGGGTGGCTGAGAACTCAAAAACTGCCTACCACCTGCCTCCGCCTCCGCCTCCGCCTCCGCCTCCGCCTCCGCC